CCCTAGGGATCCTGCGTATACGATTATTGCGTGATTCAAATGTAGAACACCCGCTCGTCAGATCCAAATCCTACATCGGACCAAGTATGTGCTGATCAAAAGCTGGAGTTGGCCCAACCTGAGACAGAAGCGCATTTGAGCAATCCAGACATTTTCACTGCTGGTCAAGCCGTGCAGGTGAACGGTTCTTAAGTTGCAGCACATTATGTGCATTAAAAGCTCTTAATTGTGGGATGGTTCACCCTGTTGAACTTTGAAAGAATAGCTTTTTTACACGAAGCATACCAGCAACAGTTCATAAAAGATAATCGGGTGGCATCCAGGTAAATCAAGTGATCAAAGTAGACCACACTAGTGAATTAGTAGGCTTCCCAGTGCTCGAGCTGCTGGTGGCATTTCTGCCTGCAGTGAACCGGAACTCGTGGCTGGACAAGTAAGTAGTCTTTGGACTTACCTTTGCAGGGGGGAACATAGAAAACTTACAAGTGTCTGTCCAAAGTGCCCCAAGTAGAATCGGTTCATCCCAGCAAATTCAACGTTGGCATTGTTGGCTGCACCACAAAGGCTAGACATTCTGCCGATAAAGTCCTCTGGTTTATATCCAGTATAGAAGCGATAGTTGTATCCTTAAGGGTTTGAAGTTGTCAAGCTGCAAAAAGAAATTCCTGGACCGTACTGGAAACCAAAATACAACATATATCAAATGGTTTCCAATCCTCGGCAAAGAAACCTTCCATTCTTTGGACCAGGGCAATCTCTTGCCAGGCCTCAATACTGCAGCACTACAGATTGGTAAACCACATGCACTAGTTTGTAAGATCTAGTTAATCAAAGGCACATGAAGCTTTGGACGTATAGGGAAAAGAAGCTCGTCAGCTTCCAGTGCACGGTTTGCAAGAACAACATAGTAGTATAGGCAGCCATCACAGTGCCGTTGCAGCTCCATGCTCTGGTCTGGTGTCAAATAACGGGGCATGAGTTCAGACTTTCGATGCCACTCCGCCAAGTGCCACCTGAAATGGTTTTCTGGGTTGCCCCAACAAAAGAACATCAAGTCGATGGTTCCAAGATTTGGGAAAGATCACTCATACCAGGTACCCGGTTAAGCCTGAGACACACACAGCAAGAAGCAAGCCCAACCCAGTGATCCTCCCGATACTGGTCGCTTTTCGCAATGCTAATCATCTCTTCACAGAGCCACCCAACAACACATCTTGCCTCAGCTGGTTGGCTAACCAGGTTTGCTTAATGAGTTGTGCCAAAAGAAGTGAACCCCCCACTATGCATAGCTTGTTTGGGATCCCTGAGATTCTGATAGACAGAAAACTTATGCTTTAGTTGAACCATGGCACATTGTAGGCCTTGCTTTGTAATTCTGGGTAAGGATGCTGCTTGGATCGAAAGCGCCAGGGTTTGAATTTTGGCATGGAGTGCCTAGGATCAGGATCATTGAATTTGATCTTCAAATTGTTTAAAGTGCTAGTATGGCCCGTATGGCACAGAGAAACCTATTCTATAGAAAGAACCTGAAACACAAAATGCTAATTTAAATTATAGTAGAAACACTGAACCTTGTTGGTCCTGGCCCAGGCCCTGAAAAGGTCATAGGCTATAAGGAGACGGTCGCTTTCCTCCATGTCAAATCCTCCAAACACATCGTAGCTCATGAGCTTCCTCACCAACGACCCAACCACCCATAAGTCAGCTCCAAGGTTGATAATATGCATTCCATCCCAGCGAATCATGTTCACTGTGAAAGATGGCAAATCCAACAGGGGACCTTACTAGCTAGTCCAGAGCAGCAAGTCAAT